AATTTATTTTGCTGAGATTCAGCAAAACAATTGCCGAGACTCAGCTAACAAATAAGATTTTGCTGAGACATCAGCTAACAAATAGATATTTTGCAGAGAATTCAGCAAAATTAAATGCCGAGATACTCGGCTGTTGGAGATTTTACCGAGATAGATTAAGTGTGTATGGTATTAGCATAGAGGTAACTCTAAGACTAGTAGCAACAATCAATACGAAACTAACGATTTTAAATTGGCTCACCACTTTAGTAGCCTATTGGTCCCAAGCAAACGATTAACGTACCCTATTCTAGTTGAAATTCTATTACTACGCTATGTTTGTTTTCATTCGCTATGAAAGTTTGACAGATAACATCAGGGGTGTGTGGATTCATGCAGAACATGCAGGGGTGAGTGAAATAGCTTGGGACTGCTTGGGACCGTTGTTCTGGTACTGAGTGAGCCAAAAATAATAATGATTTTCTTCGGGACCCAGTGGTCTTAGAGTTACCTCTATGGTATTAGCATAGAGGTAACTCTAAGACTAGAAGGTCCCGAAATAACGTGATCAACTTTTTGGCTCAGCTCTGGTACTCTCTTCGGTCCCAAGCTAATCGATTCACCCCTCGAAACATAGGAAAAACCAATAACCCCTCATTTTATCTGTCAAACTTTCATAGCGAATCAAAACAAACATTGCGTAGTACTAGAATTTCGACTAGAATAGGGTACGTTAATCGTTTTCTTGGGACCAATAGGCTACTAAAGTGGTGAGCCAATTTAAAATCGTTAGTTTCGTATTGATTGTTGGTATTAGTGCGATACGTGCTGTTTCACTCGACGCTTATCCATCCGTTGCTCGAAAGTAAATGACAAAGAAAACGATTTGACAAGCGTTTTTATTACCGCTGCTTTTCGCCTCCCTTCCTTTGATTGGTGAAATGGTGTGTTCGATTTGCGCTCCATCGTTACGCCCGTGTTTGGGATTTTTCGTTAAATGTTTGAATTTTGATGTTTTTTTTTATGTAACCCCCAGTATAGAAATTAAAGACGTAGTCCTACGTCAAAAATATTCAATCGACTGCGCTGTCCAGAACGTTGCACCAAGCGGTAAATGACGAGGCAATGAAGGAGCAAACAAAAACATTCAGTCACTCACGAACAGGCGACTCATACCGCTTGCCTTCGCTCACCCAGCATGTAATTGGCATTGACGGCGGCTCTGTAGCTCTTTACTCCTATGAGAAAATCCATAAGCAAACGTCAAACTGTGCGTGAAACATGGCGGACTTTGTACTATCCTTTCACTCCACCGAAAATTCTCATAAGAAACTGTCTATATTTGCTGGAAGAGAAAATTTTTCGACGGTGCCGTCAGCGCCAATTGAGGCATTTTTTCTTAGAACATGTACGATCAGTCATTCAAAACAAGGATTGGGTACCATCATGGAAGAATAAACGTGCTGACTGAGCTACTGACTGAGTGCTCGGTTGTCAATGACTCGTTTACTCCTCAATCATTCAGACTCTCACGAGGCAATGAATGATGAGGCAGATGGCAGTCCATATTCGTATGAAAATGACTCATTATACATACCGTATGCGTGATAATGTTTGCACCATTGAACAACGTCAAATTTAAAAAAAAGTCTCAAAAATTTCGTTTTCGATTTTTTTATTTATTCAAAGGGGGATGTTTCTCAGAGTCTTAAACTATGTTAATCATCGATCGAGTTTCCACTTGCTACAATTACGGCCTCCACACGCTTCCGGAATGTAAGGCAGGTTCTAATAATGTAGTCTGGATCCATTTCTCTCCAGGTACGGGTCAATGTTTGTCTGAAGCTTGCTGTACTCGGGTGGCGTTTACAACAGGCCTTGGCCTTCATGACGCGCCATATTGAGTAATCAAGCGGATGGCGGCCACATATCCTTCGCCCAGAACGGAAGATGTTCCTGCAACCACTTCTGAGTGCGGTTCGAGGTGTGGTACGGAGCCCCATTTTGTTGAAATACAACATTTGGCTTCGGACCGTACTGTTCTTTGATCCACGGAAGAACATACTTACTTAAAATTCCGATGTAGACCTCCGTGTTGACCTTGTCGCCTTCTGGAATGAATACCGGGTCCATTTTTTTTGCCATCGGAATCCACCAATCCAAACACAATAACGCTAGCAGGATGCTTGGTCAGATACACGTTCTTGTGCTCGTCGACCACGTCTTTTACCGGAAGAGAACTAATATACCGGTCGGTTCTGGAATTTGATACGGGATAGACGGTAAACATGCTCTCGTCGGTGCACAAGATTACCGGATTTTTTCGCTTAAGGAAGTTCAAGATTTTCTTGCATCGTTCGATTCGTAGCTCCCGAATGCGGTTGATAATCATGTGAGTTTTTTTTCGTGCCCTCGACTTTGCCCCGCAATATTCCTTTACGATCTTCCGTGCCGTAAAGTCACTGATCCCGTGTTCCTTTGCCATTTTCCTTATTGATCGCACTGGATTCACCCGAATCTTCCTTTTGATAGCAGCGATAACCCTCGGAACCCGAGCTGACCTCGGACGACCTGTGGCCACCTTTGCGGATAGTTGTCCTTTATTTTCTCGGTCTAAAACTTTTTTGACGGTCCACCGGGACACTCCCACGGCGATTGAAATGTCTTTTTGCGACATTTCCGCGTAGGACAAATCACGAATACGCTGCCACTTCGTCATGGTGCAACCATAGAGGTAACTCTAAGACCAGAAGGTTCCGAATAAACGTGCTCAACTTTTTGGCTCAGCTCTGGTGGTATCTTCGGTCCCAAGCTAATCGATTCACCCCTCGAAACATAGCAAAATCCAGGGTGCCTTCCATTCATTTTGACTAAAAAAATGTTTTTAGAAATTATGGAATAATAAGATATTATGAAAATATTTTGATTATGTAAACAACAAGAAAAAATTGTTAAGTTTGTGTTTGACACATAATACCTGCCAATTTTGCTACATGAGAGTCGCAATAAGCGATTTTGTAATTTTTTCTCACCCACTCTTCGCTCTTCACTCTTCGCGAAGAGGCGATCAGAAAAATGCTCATTGTGACTCTGTCAAAGCTAAATTTGCAGGTTTGATGTATAAAACACAAACTCTACAATCTTTTCTTAATACTTACACATATAAAATGTCGTCACAATATCCTATTATTCCATAATTTCATAAAACATTTTTTTAGTCAAAATGAATGGAAGGCACCCTGGCAAAATCCACTAGCCCCTCATTTTATCTGTCAAACTTTCATAGCGAATCAAAACAAACATTGCGTAGTACTAGAATTTCGAGTAGAATGGGGTACGTTAATCGTTTCCTTGGGACCAATAGGCTGGTCAAGTAGCGAGCCAATTTAAAATCGTTAGTTTCGTATTGATTGTATTGTTGCTACTACGGTATAAGCTATAGGTTACGTGCATGCAAAAAAAAAACCAAGGCATTGTATGTACAGGTGAAACGGGAACCTTTTTTGACTCCGTTACGGTATCTTCTGTTTCTTGAACGTCTTTAGACCGTTTATTGCCTTGGAACAATGGTCGATGTTTCCAGTTTTAAGCCAAATCTCGAACATACGCACTTTTCTATTAGAAAAAGTTTGAGGAATCTTCCACTCCAGCATTCGATTACAGGTACCTATTTTCGGCCATATTTCGATGTGTTAGGTAAGGTAATCTCCTCACAAGACAATCTCCTCCACTATAACTTCTCAGCATGTAATCATGACGGGAAAACAACAACGATCTATGGTTACCTCTAAACTGTTTGATCATGAGTTGAAATGAAATGTTGTAGGTACATCTTCATTGTTACTTCCAGTAAACATTGGTAAAAATGTTGAAATTTTTATTAAGGCGAAGATGTGAAGAAAAAATCATCGATCCTACCGTCTGCAACGAACACCGCTGATCTTCAAATCCACTGGCTACAGGAACACTGGGAACGGAAAACAACCCATTTGGTAAACTGGTTGATTGATTAAATAATTTATCAGCCGGCCACAAAGTCCATGAATGATTTCTTTAGGTTGCCGGTCAGTTTTTTTTTTTACTTGAATAAGCGAATTATGCTCATCACTTCTCTCTTCTACTTCTTTCCTTTATTTAACGTCGGTCTCTGTTCCGCAATCTAGTGCCAATCACCGACGGACATCGCTTGCCACCCATTGACAGCAATCGAATGGGCAGGAAGGCAGCTTCCACACCTCCGTAGGATATCGCACCTATTCAAGCACAATACATGGGCCGGCACCAACGGCTTTACTTCCCTTCCGAAGGAAGATGTGACCAGAGATTTTTATGCCTCAGAAAAATCCCACCTGGAAGCAAGCCACACTTACCACTACACTGCACCATCTCTCTGGAAAATGGCCTGACGTTATGATTTAATAGAACGTAATAGCAGGGAGAAGAAAAAGTGATAGTTGTTAAAAATTTTAAATAAGTCAAAACTATTTTCAATACCTATGTTTTTTTATCAATTACTTCTAACTCTTAATTTATTCTATATTTACATTCCTATCAATCAAAATCTAGCTGAACACCAGCAATAATTAAAATAAATAGCACGTCATAATAATCATAACATTTTTTCGACGATCCATTGTCACAATAAACAACGTCAATCCCCATCCACGTCCACAAACGCTGCTTGGATTCTCCGAGTTTGGTGCGGCATGCTGAGAGAGGAACAAATTATCGCTCAGTAACAATAAAAATCAATTTACACATTTGTGTGACATTACCGCTCAGCATTCAATGGATTTAGGTTCGTACTTGAATTTCGACAAACAATTACTACCGCAACCACAACAATAGCGGGGGTTGTACTTAATGAGCGCATTTGCTTACAGTTTATAGCATTTTCGGATGATTACGGTGGACTTATTTTTTTGTAGTGTACTGCGGGTGAGTTTCGGGATCTGCTGCGACGGGGATCCCAACCGGATGTGATATTTCGTTTAATTAGTTTTGTCGCCCGGCGGTTTGAATTTTTGTTATTCAATTTTATTGTTTCGCATGCATCGATAGAATACTCCTAGTAATCATTTTTCAAATAGAGAGAATGGATACACTTCATGTATTATATTTTAGATGCAATATTGTTGTTCAGAGCACGTATTGTTGTAAATTGTTTGCTTTAATTGTAAAATTTTAATTGTAAAATAAAGCCTTCATGCTACGCTACACGAAATTCAAACAACGACTAAGTATAAAATAGTTTTTCGCTATACGAGTTAAACGAGTGGTCAATAAATAAGAAGAGATATAGGTAAATAGAATACACAATTGAGATCTCACGCCGTTGAAAACAAAAACTGTACGAAAACTGAAATCATAGTTTTGAAATCACTTTGCGGTACGGTTACATACGAGTTATACAATGTAATAACCAGTAGTAACAAATTAGACCTTGATAAACAGAAGTTCAACACAAAGCACACTCTCAAAAAATGCCATACATATCGGATAACACAGCAATACTTGCTCAAAAATGTATAAAAATACTAACTGTAGCGTAATTGTGTCGATATATCTAAGCTATCGGTAATAATATCTCACGGATTACAGTTGCCCGTTTGTCTACATATACTGATCAGCGATTCTAGTGGCCCTCGTAAACCTATGTTCTTTCCCTCTATAACTTTTGGTACGAAATCATAATCAAGCAAGTCTTATTCGTTAAGGAATGTCGTAAAAGTACGGTTAGTGTGCTATCAGATAGCGCTTTGCTCGCTGTTTAATAGGTTACTGTTTGCTAAACGGTAGCCTGTGATGATATTTAACGGTAGAACTTTACCTCAGCCTCGACGCAATCTTTCATCAATTCATCCAGCTCTTGGTTAGGTTCACTGGAATGCTCACTAATGAAACGGTTTACTTCATCAACGCATGTGCTTTCAAGCGACGTCAACAAATCGCCGACATGTTCCCACTTTCGATTATTATGCAGTTTATGGAGCAATGTTTGGCTTTCCCCTGCAGGAATTTTGGTCAATGGTGAAATCTTTGCACCCGGAGTAAAGATAAATGGTTTGTATACCGATTCCACTGGATTGGGTGTTGCAGTGAACCAGTGGCAGGAGAGGCCGCTACTTAACAATACCGACACATGGCTAGAAAGCGATTTCTGTTCGATTCCGGCGACTCTTAACGATTCGAACATTTGAGCCACGGTAAAGGATCCTTCCCCGGCAGGTTCACTGCCTGGCCACGATCGGGAACCATCGGAACCAAAGACCGAAGCAAAGTTTAATTCTCCCACTCCATCCCACACACCAGCCGCCTGCAGTTTCGATTGCAGATCCTCGGAACATCGATCGATTTGGGTTCCTACCGAAAGTCCTGGTTTAAGAGCTAAACTACCGGAGGAGACCTTCTGTGCAGCCCAGAAGCATCCTACAACGTTCAGTATCCACGCTTCGTTCGGATCACAAATCACATATGCTGCCTTGGGTGCATCTTTGGTTTCACCAGCGGGACCGTGCTGATCATTTAACGATACTAGGACGTCGACGGCATCGGATGCGCTTGCAGCACGTTCCAGGCCCAATCTACGGAGGAGAAGAAGAACAAAGGAGTAATAAATATTTAAAAAAAATACTAAATTACCTTGCGGACTTAAAAATGACCTAAGATATTTTTAAATTGACTTAAATTACACACAAATCGCTTTGAAACGATACAAAGCGTATAAATGGACTTTTTGATTATATAAAAAAAACCTAATTAACTGTGGTCAATTTTTGACTACTGTCTAAGCATATAAAATATTTTTAACAGCAGTCAAGTGTGTGGTTCATAATAACGCAATATAACCAAACAGATTTGTGGAATCTATGCGAATAAATTGCGATCCATTTCCTTTATACCAACCTTTCAATGGGGCGTAATTGTATTTGTAAACAATGGCTTTAGCCGCCGATTTCTCGCGAAGAAAAGCTCACCCATGAAAACTAATGACACCAACAGGTAGAGGATTTTTTTCTATGGGGTGTCCCAGAATGTCTAAGCACGACTTTGGAACACCCCTACTTGTATCAGATGACGTTTAAACAGCTGATTATCACGCTGAATCATTGTTTACTCTTTGACCAACAGTTTCGTGTATCGCAAGTGTCTTAGCGGTGCCGGTGGTGTAGTGTGGTAAGCGTGATTACCTATCACCCCAGCAGGCCGGGACAATCCCAGTCGGCGCCGTTGGGATGTTCTGAGGCATAACATCTCTCACGCCTTCCTTCAAAAGGGAAGTAAAGCCGTTGGTCCCCGGTTCATGAGTTGATGAGTGAATAGGTAGGGCCAGGAGTGGAAGCTGCCTCCCCTGCCGTCGGTAGCTTTGGTGCTCAGCACGGAAAACAAATCAAGGAAAAAAAGTGTCGGTTTTTTACATTTCCTTGACAATGTGATGCATTTCTTCGAAAAAAACGCAAACAGGATCGTGTACAAATGGTATACTATCCCCAACATTTCTCTGAGTCAATTAGCGAAATTGGAAGGTGTAAGCATCGGAGCCGTTCGAAACGCGATTCGGAAGTATGGTGATGAGGCAACTTTCCAGGACAAGCAAAAATCTGGACGTAAACCGGACCCTGTTGACCGAAATCTGTACCGGAAAATCGTGCAAGCTTTCACTCGCTAGAAAAGTGCTTCGGTTCCAGACGTGGCTAAAAAAGTGGGATCCGCGAAGAGTGATGTCCAGCGGTCCATGACAAGAATGACGGAGACAATGACAACCGATGTTTACGTGCGTGAGTGTTTAAACAAGCGGCTATTACCCATGATCCGCAAACACGACGCCTCAGTACTGTTTCGGCCGGATTTGGCATCGGTTCATTACTCCGAGGACACGGTAGCCTGGTATAAAGCCAACAAGGTCTAATTCGTACCCAAGGAGATTAATCCGTCAAACCGTCCCCAGGCCAGGCCAATTGAAACTGTCAAGGCAGCGGATTCCGTTACGAAGTTTGCGAAAGACTAGGAAAGAGTATCCAAAATTGTTGGAAAGGCATCTGTGCTGAAATAAATGAGTAGCGTGAGATCAAAAATCCGCTCCTTGGCTTACGACTGATCGGATCTAGGATTTTCTACGTTTAACTGTAAGAGAATCTTATTGGGCAGTATAGAGAACATGAATATGAAATAAAATCGAATTTGCTGTAAACAGAGTTACGTTATCGTTTTTTTTTTTTTATCGTGCTTAGAAATTCTGGGACACCCTATACCAGCTTGAATCGGAAGGGTGAGGTTTTATTTGCGAGAAATCGACGGTTAAAGCCATTGTTTACTAAACCAATTACGCCCCTTTGAAATGTTGGCACTGATATATCAGATGCTCTAGATTCTGCAAATCGTCCTGGATTTCAGTTCGTGCGATCCACTAGTTCAACCACGCTCAATAAAATGTCCTCAACTGATGTAAGCAGATTTATGGGATTTATGTTTTGGATTTAGTATCCATTTCCATGTACTTATATAAGATGTATGAGGATTTCCAAATCATTCACGACAGGGACAATATCCTTAGCAACAAAACATGTTCATGACGTCCATGAAAATTAATTAAAATCGAATTATATGGATAAAAATGCTCTAGGAACTCCAAACCTCGTCATGGACTTCAGATTATATGATTTACTAGTTTAACAACGACTGAGACAATGTCCATAGTAACGGACGATATGAAAGCAGAATTCAGGGGGTTATAAGGAAAGGGTGCAGTGACATACCTAAAAAATAGAAAATGGCAATTATCGCTACTTTAGTGTTGATAAGTGTGTACGGTTCATATTATCTTATAAACTCACTCGCACCCCTTTTCTTTTGACTCCCTCAACCATGGTTTCAATGCGTACAAAAAAAAATTGCATCGAAATTTATTGTTTTCCTACTTTAAAGGGATCCAACAATTTCCGGTCAATTGACTCTTCCATAAGACAAGACACACCTTACCAGATCCGTCGCGTTGAGTTTACCATCGACCGGATGACCCTCGCTGAAGGTAAGTCCCAAGCAAACTCCTTTCTCGTTGGATCCACTCTCGGCTCCCCAAACTCCAGCTGGTTTGCTCAAAATCACAGAAAACGCTGCAACCCCATCAATCTCAGCTGAATCGCACTGCAATTATGTGGCAAGAACAAAAAAGAGAAGTAAAAATCAATCAACTTGCAAAGGACGGCCGAAAAACTAAAATGTCATTACTTTCTCTGATCCGCTGCCCTCGGATGCTGCGTAATGGTGCACTTCACTAACTGCAGAGTCATCAGCTGGCAGGCGAAGGCCGTTCCGCCCATAAATGATCGTCTTGCCTGCCTCAATAAATGGAGCAAGGACGACGAATGCTTCTCCACAGATTCCAGACATTTTTGTTACTTTCCACCTTTTTCTCTCACTATCCAAATCGATAATGAAGTGAAAGTTGGTCCGCACGGAGAACTAGGAGGATATAAAGTTTAATTTTCACCACTTTCAGAACCAGAATTCACAAGCTGTTTAGTGTTAACAAAAGTACATAACATTTACCGAATTCGGCACAGTTTCAGATACGAATTTTACAAATTTAATCACTTTTTCACTTTACACAACTTTTTTCTTCGGATGTGCTTTGTGATGTGGGAGATCTGAAGAGAGATTCTGTTCTGTCATCATGAATGCCATGACAGTTCGGTTTGGCACTGGCCCACAATGTCCTTTATTAAGGTCCAGGCCAACAGGCTTATTGGTGTTAGTGAAATGTGGAAATGTTAATTCAATGCAATGTTTATCTTTTTACACGAAACAGCTGTTGGCAGTGACGTAAATCTCACTGTTCGCGATATAAAGATTTTCACTTTCGGTTGTATTGGTGAGATATGTGAGAGGGTGTTAGTGAAAATCCGAGGAAAATAGAGATTGCTAAAGTATGATTGTGTCAGTGATTTGTTTTCAATTTTCCGCTATTAAGTTTTTTCCCGATGAAAACATTTTGTGCATACGTATACGTGACGTAGTGTACATACGATAAACGTCAGCAATCTCTATACATATCATATCGCTGTCAATCTCATTATGACTGATCGAATATCGAATTACATACATTTTGAGGTTAGCCTGAGGAAAATAATTAACAACTTTACACGGCGATAGATCCCGTTAGTGTGCGTGCGTTAAACGTCACTAATCTTTATGGAATTTTATGGTAGAGTGACGTCGTCACTTGAGTGCTCAGTAATGTTTACAAATTTTTGCTTCTAACACCAGCAAGCTGCCTGTTGGCGTGCACCTTATACAAAAGTCATTGACTGGCCCATCAGGATTTTTGATGGAACGGATGGAACTCACCTGAGAACCATCGTCGTGAGTGACGTACACGATAAGAAAAAAGACCCAACAGTTCACTTTTAACCTACTATTGACTAGTTTGTCTTATAAATTTTATAGATTCCATAGATAAGCGGAGGCACAAAAAGTTGTTTTGACAACCATGAAAAATAAATGATCTTACTGGCATCCGTGAAAAAAGTTCACGCCATTATAGAGCTCTTCGTTGTGCAGTTTTGTTTTGTTTTGTGCGTGAAAGTTCAAAATGAAGTGCAAAGCAAATCTTTGCAACAATGTATCGAGGAATGGTTTGCTTTATATATCTTTCCTTCTTCCGTTGTCCGCGAAACAAATCGGAATGTGAAGTGTGGAAAGCGTTTTGTGCTCATAATATTACAATACTTCTCCCTCAAACAACACCATGCTGACGTCATGCTCGTTTGGCTACACTAACGGACAGTTCGTTTGGCTATATTATATTTTTCCTCCGCTTATCTACACTGAAAAAAAGTTTTCACTTAGTTTCTATTAGGAACGCACATAGTACTTTTCCAAAAACAAAAACAATGATTTTTACCTGAATATCACATACACAGCAAAAAAAAATATAATATCGATCAATGTAATTCAAGCTGATGTATGAAATAATGATGTAATAGCAAAAAGCAGAAACAATATTACATCAATGGATGTAATTTTGTTCGCAAAATCGATGTACATCGTACAACGTTATATTACACAACCGATGGATTGACCTGGTTGCAGCAGTTTGGATGTAATATTCAGCAACTTTTTTTTTCTGTGTAGCTTTAGAAATTCTATATGAGAAATCATATAGATTTCATTGGACACATAACGTTCATGTGATTTAGTGGTGCAATTTCCAATTATGGGATCACATTAAAGTTATGTGAAATTCACATGGATATTTTCCACTGGTTATGTGATTTATTTTATGAGTGTATGGAATCTATAGTATCTATAGTTTGTCTCCTTTTCTCCTTCTAATGTTGTCAAAAAGGGAGGAGTAAAACCACCAAACATGGGTAGTAAAGTGTGGAAACCCAACGTTGAGTATAAAATCATGTTTACCTACTTTTGGGTACACTATTCCCATTTTGCTTGAAATTTAATCAATTTGACATTAAACTCAGTTTAATCATATCGAATGATTTAAAATTAATCCTCTCTTTCTAAAAAATAAGCATCTGATAATAATCCCAGTTTAATCATGGTTGATTAGATTGTAGACTATGTTTTTTTGAATAAATTTTAATCATTTTTGATTCTATTTTAATAATTTTTGATTGAATTTTAATATTTTTAGATTATATATCAGTGTTGCTCGCAGTCCTTCGGATCGAGCATAGAAAACTATTTTACAAAGTATGCTCTCGGCGATACTCAAACTAAAATTTTAATACAACAAACATTAATCACAGATGCACTTATCATTAATAACAAACAACTTACATTAAGTTTTCCTCAATATAACTACTACCAGTCTCACTGCCAACACTCCTATACTCGGTTTTTAGGACCTATGTTGAAAACATTAATTTATTACATTTACTGACTATCAAAATACAAACAAACTCACGGTAAGTAGCACAAAATATCATGAACGAGCAAACCTAATATCGACCAACAATCAGCTGACGAAATCTACAAAAACACCAAATATAACTTTCACAATATTTACAATAAACTATTGCACATACAAAATTGACTTCACACTTATTTTGCTAATTAACTACAAGTGGACAGACAAATTCACTTCACTAAATTAAAAGATGAGAATTTCACCATCTCGTTTCGATCTTCAGTGTCAACAATAACAAATTACGATGGCTGATCCCACTGCGCGATCAGCTGCATGCGCATGTATGTGTGCCATTCATTTAGGTCATCTTCATCAGCCGTCGAGAACTGTCAGTGGACGGGGCGTTCACGGTATTCGCCCATTCGCAACTGGGTGTTCACTTTCACCGACCGCAACCCTTTCGCAACCGGGTGCTCGTTTTTACCAACGGTAACATTCCCCCACCCGTAAACCCTGTCGCTGATTCACTCGGGAACAGTACGGGGATTACTATTTTCCACCTCAATCTCCAAAACCGCTAACTTCGATACTGGTCGCAGCTTCTCACCCCGGCTGGTCTGCACGGACGCTGAGCGGATTCTCCCATCACTGCCAACGAACACTTGCGTCACTAGGCCTCGCTCCCAGGTATTCCGCTTTTCGCCATCAGCCACAAACACCAGGTCTCCTATCGCCACTTTTCGATGGTCCAAGTACCACTTCGACCGTCTGTTCAGGGTCGGCAGATACTCCCGCTGCCAACGATCCCAAAATCCATCCGCTAACTGCTGCGCTCGACTATAGCTGCTCCGCAACGTATCAGCCAAATCCACCGGAATCCTCGACGGTAGACATTCGGCCGACGATCGACCACGCAGGAAGTGATTTGGTGTTAGCGCTTCTTTGTCTTCCTTCACGTTGGTTGACACGTACGTAAGTGGACGTGAGTTGACCAGGTTCTCAGCCTCGATCAGTGCAGTCTGCAGGATCTCATCCGTCAGCTTCCGACCATCCGTGAAGACATGCAGTGCCTCTTTCACCGAGCGTACCATTCTCTCCCAAGCGCCCCCCATATGTGGCGCTGAAGGTGGGTTAAACGTCCAACGGGTCCTTGCACCAGTGAACGTGTCCGCACAGGCAACGTTGATCTCCTTCACCAGATCTCGATTGGCACCGACGAAATTCGTACCGTTGTCCGAGAAGATCTCAATCGGACTGCCACGTCGCTTCACAAACCTCCTAATCGCCATTTTGCACGACTCCGTCGTCAGGCTGTACGCCACCTCCAAGTGCACCGCTCTGACAGTTAAGCACGTGAACAGTGCCACCCATCTTTTCTCCTTCCTTCTTCCAACGGTCACTTCTAGCGGTCCGAAATAATCGATGCCCACGTTTGAAAACGGATCGATCTTCGCAGCCAATCGCTGTTCGGGTAGTGGTGCCATCCTGGGCACAGTTGGTTTTGCCTTCCGGATCTTGCACCACATGCACTCCCGCATCACTTGCTCCACCAACACGCGTAGACAAGGTATGTAGTATCGCTGCCGAATTTCATTCACTACCGTTTCCCTGCTACCGTGGCCATATTGTCGATGATAATGTTGCACCAGTCTCTTGGTCACCACGTGATCTTTCGGCAGAATGATCGGGAACCTCGCATCAAACGCCACGTAGTCAGCCGCCTCGGTCCGACCTTCCATCCGCACAATTCCTTCTTCATCCAGAAATGGTGATAAGCGATAAATCGGACTCGACTTTTCCAGTGGTAAATCTTGAGCTACAGATGAATCCCGATTCTTCATGAGTGTCTTCACCTCGTCCGCGAACTCCTCTGCTTGCACTATCCTCCACAGCAACGATTCGGCAGACATATATTCTTCCTGCCGCAACGGTACCTCAACTGCTGCAAACGCTATACGTCCAGCTTGCTTAGCATCAATCGGCAACGCTTCGATCGGCATCTTTTTGATCCGACGACGACAGTTGGACACAAAACGGAACACTACTGCTACCGTTCGCACCATCACCGTCCACCGAGAAATATGCTGCATCCTCTCCATCAACCCCTCAGGCAAAAGAATATGATGCAGCAGCACGCTTGCGCGTAGTTCTTCTTGAACCTCCACCACCGGACGTTTCTGCTTCGGCCACTCTGACACGTCTTTATACAGGAACTCCGGACCTCGATACCAACGACTCTCCGACTTGATTTCCGTTCCTTTTCCCCATTTCGTTAGGTCGTCTGCTGGATTGTCCTTCGTACCTACCCAGCGCCAATCTTCAGGGTTTGTGATGCTGAGAATCTCTCCGATTCGGTGGGCAACGAAAGGTTTGTACCTTCGTTGGTCGGACTTCACCCACGACACAACAGTATACGAATCGCACCACAGGAACCACTTCAAAACAGGAACAGAATGACTATCGCAGATTGACTTCATCAGCCGCGCGCCTAGAACAGCAGCTTCTAGCTCCATTCGTGGCGTAGACAGGTACTGCAATGGTGCCACCTTCGCTTTTGCCTCAATGAATGCGCAGTGAACGACTCCGCCGTCCTCAAATCGGAAATAAGCAACGCACCCGTAAGCCGCATCGCCAGCATCGGTGAACACATGCAACTGTACCGTATCGTACGCCTTCGAATCTAGTCTGCCCAGATAGCACCTAGGAACTCGGATCTCGTCGATCAGATGGAATAACTGTGTCCATTTCACCCACCGTTCATAATGTTTCTCGGTCAGCCTTTCGTCCCACTTGATTCCACTGCGCCACAAATCCTGCATGATGATGCGGCCATGTATGAGCAGAGGAGCCAAGAACTGCTTCGGATCAAACATACTCATTATACACCGTAACGCAATCCTCTTCGTTGGCCAAGCACCTTCCCGAATGTATGGCTGAAGGTCTTGCCGAATCTCCGTCGAGAAGATGAAGTTATCTCCCTCCGGGTCCCATAACATCCCCAAGACTCGTTCGAATTCGCAGGACTTGTCCACTTCTAGCGGCTTCGCCGCGCACTTTGGCTCTCCAAGCGCCTGCAGGACCACCTCCGAGTTACTGACCCAGTTCCGTATCTCGAAACCTCCATTTGCGTGCACCTTTCTGACATCCATCGCTAGTTTGACTGCTTCCGCTTCAGTATCGGTGCTGTCGAAATAATCATCGACGTAATGCTTCCGGACAATAGCATCTGCAGCTTCAGGGTACTGCTCGGAATGTTCGCGTGCGTTCAGGTTCTTCACAAACTGGGCAGAGCATGGCGAGCAACTAGAACCGAAGATCACGACATCCATCACAAAAATCTCCACCTCTCCGTTCGGACCCAGGAACAGAAATCGTTGTGCTTGACGATCCTCCAGACGAACCTTTGCTTGGTGAAACATCTCTCTGATGTCACCTCCAAACGCCACACGTCTCTCACGGAAACCACTTATCACAACTGGCAACGAAGTTATCATGTCCGGTCCCGTCAACAGTTTATCGTTAAACGACACGCCATGTGCTTTCGCTGCCGCATCCCAAATCAATCGCACCTTGCCCGGTTTCTTCGGATTCACCACGTAATTCAAGGGTAGGTACCATTCCGTTCCCTTCGGCGTCTCTTTCAACTCCCGCTCGGTGATGCGATGCGCGTAGCCTTTGGCGAGATATTCCTCCAACTGCTTCTGCAAGTTTTCTCGCACCCCAGGATTTCGTTTCATCCGAGCTTCCAAACTTCGCAACCGCTTCAAGGCCATGTCAAAGCTTTCAGGGAATCGCACGTCATCTTCCTTCCAGAGCAGTCCGGTTTCAAACCTCTCACCAATTCTCTTGGTCGTCTTTTCTAGGATCTCACGCGCTCTGCGATCTTCCCTTGACTCCAATCGAATCACCGAAGTTCCGACCTCCTCCAGTTGATAATTCTGCTTCAACGCTTCATCCAGCTTCTTATCTGCAATGCTACATTCTTCACACACACAACGATGATGTCCCAAGAAGTTTACACTGCTGACGACATTTGGACGCGGGCCATACAACGTCCAGCCGAGATTGCAACGAACTGCAACAGGCTCACCAGAATCTCCAACTCGGGAGTCCAATGGCGCGATCAGGTGGGCGTTGTCGATTCCAATCAACACCTTCGGTGTAGCTACTTCGTAACTGGGAATCTGTATGTCCTTGAGATGTTCGAACTGCTCCTTCAATTTCCGGGAATCCATCTGTTGTGTAGGGAGATCCAGTTTGTGCACCGTGCGGGCTTCCATCAAATCGTAGCGATACGGCGAATTTTTGGCGGAGATCTCGAGCGTAACTTTCTTCGACCGATTCTCTGTCCGCTGAACACCATTTGTCCAGCACATCTGCAACGATTCCACCGGCCCATCAGCTCCCAACGATTCCACCAATTCGCTATCCACGATAGTTATTGACGATCCTTCGTCGATTAGAGCAAGCGTATCAATCTTCTTCTTGCCGTTGTAGAGCGTCACTGGAGCCATCCTGAATAGTACTGCACGTTCCTGCTGACGATGACTGTTGCATTGCACTCGAGCTCGCGAGGTTCCTTCACTCGGGCCACTATGTAGCAGAGCATTGTGGTACTCCTGACAACCGTCCACTTTACAGGCTATCCGGATGCGACACGATCGTTGCCCGTGGTCGTACAGACAAAGCGGACACAGGTTCAACCGCTTCACTGTTTTCCACCGCTCGTCCAAGCTCTGTTTCAGGAACTCCTGGCAATATCTTCCATAATGTCCAGGCTTCTGGCAGACCGAACACTTCAGTTCTCGTTGCTGTGGCTGGCTTTGCGACTTCTGCTGCAACTGATTCGACGATCTCTGCTCCATCTTCGACTCCATCCGGCTTTGCTGGCTGTCTTGATTTCTTCCGTCTGTAGCATGAACGAAAGCCTTGATCTTCTCCTTTCTTTTGACCTTTCCGTCCAACTCTGCTTTTTCGAAGGTCGCTTCCAGTGCCTTTTCCACCAGACCCTCCATGAAACCACCAAACGTCTCCAAATCGACCGTTCTAGCGCGACGTTTGTAGTCCACCCACTCCATAGCATAATACGATGGCAGTTTTTGGACTAAACTCTGCATTAGAATTGGGTTCTTCAGGTGGTCAACCAGTCCTGCTGCCTTGAGATGCTGGGTGAATTCTTCAACTGCACTTCCGAACTCGATCACCGACTCCAAACTCTCCGAGCTGGGTCCTTCTAGCTGTTGAACTTTGGTTGCTAACCTGGTTGATAGAATTTCCGGGTTCCCGAATCTCTTCCGCAGCTTCTCAATGATAAGCGGCACGTTTTCTGGCAGCAGCAATCGGTTCCGAACCGTTTCCAACGCTCTACCCTTCAGCGCGTCTTGTAAGCGAACCAAATTCTCGGCGTTGGTGAATCCACACGACAAGTTTGCTTGCTCATAGGCGCTGATGAATATCGGCCACTCTTCGGCTGCTCCGTAGAACTTGGGTAGACTCCGTGGAAAGACCTGACGGGATGCTATTTGGAGCCGTGTTGGTCCTTCCACAATGACTTCATCATCGGAGTCCCCGCCACCAAGGATTGATCTCAGTGCGTCATCATCCTTTTCAAAAGAAGGGCGTGGCAGTACCGGATTCGATGCACGCTTGGTGCTCTTCTTCGTGGTGGGCAGCTTTGGTGCTGACTTTCGAGGATTCTTTTCTTCCAAAAGTTTCTTGAAGCGATCATATAGGTCCTGAATATCATCTTCGGTAGACCTTTTTCGTGGAACCATCGGAATTGCACCCAAACTCTTCGGGATCTGCTCCTCCGGCTGCTTTTTCCTGCTTCTGTTCGTCGATTCTTCCACTTCTTCGTTCACTGAATCCGAATCATCTTCAGCATCCTCGTTGATGATCATCCTCAATTCGATCCTCCTTTTGAGCGCTTCTTTTCGTCTGGCAATCTGCTTTCGTTGAAGTTCCAGAAATTTCCGTTGGTTTTCCTCCTCGAGTTCGTCCAACTTGTTTTTCTCCTCCAGTTCGCGAAGTTCCTTCAACGCACGAGAACGTGTCGAGGCAGACTTTGTCGACGGTACACTGGCACTTTTCCGGAGTCCCCTTTTACCGCTACCACTCGATTTACTCGATTGTACGCGCACGGGTTGACTATGACAACGATCAAACGATTTTAAAAGCTCATTCAAGAACTTTGCGTGGTCTTCTACTTTTTCCTTTGCCACGTCTTGATTTTCGTCTTCATCAGAACTTTCCTGCTCCTGATCTGATTTATTGCTATCATCATCTTGTGCTTGGGCCCTACTTATGCGACGTTTAGTCGATGATATGTTCTTATTTGCTACCTTACCGACCTCTGTACCGCTACCTTCAGCATTAGCAGATGGATGATCGATCACCACCGGATGAATCCTGGTCCGTCCTGGTGCCCCCAGCGACTCACGAATCGATCTATCCTCACCGATACAGGTCGAGCAGAACCATATGACCTCTGCAACGGATTCGTCGACACCAACGCACTCGAAATGGTACCATTCTTCACATCTTTCGCACTGGACGCTGGCATCGTACGATTCATTGCAGTCACAACACGGGTACTTGTAGGTCGCAGCCATTAATTTTGAGAATGTTGCTCGCAGTCCTTCGGATCGAGCATAGAAAACTATTTTACAAAGTATGCTCTCGGCGATACTCAAACTAAAATTTTAATACAACAAACATTAATCACAGATGCACTTATCATTAATAACAAACAACTTACATTAAGTTTTCCTCAATATAACTACTACCAGTCTCACTGCCAACACTCCTATACTCGGTTTTTAGGACCTATGTTGAAAACATTAATTTATTACATTTACTGACTATCGAAATACAAACAAACTCACGGTAAGTAGCACAAAATATCATGAACGAGCAAACCTAATATCGACCAACAATCAGCTGACGAAATCTACAAAAACACCAAATATAACTTTCACAATATTTACAATAAACTATTGCACATACAAAATTGACTTCACACTTATTTTGCTAATTAACTACAAGTGGACAGACAAATTCACTTCACTAAATTAAAAGATGAGAATTTCACCATCTCGTTTCGATCTTCAGTGTCAACAATAACAAATTACGATGGCTGATCCCACTGCGCGATCAGCTGCATGCGCATGTATGTGTGCCATTCATTTAGGTCATCTTCATCAGCCGTCGAGAACTGTCAGTGGACGGGGCGTTCACGGTATTCGCCCATTCGCAACTGGGTGTTCACTTTCACCGACCGCAACCCTTTCGCAACCGGGTGCTCGTTTTTACCAACGGTAACAATCAGTATTGAAAAAGAATAAAATTTAATACTGGAAAGATTATTTCGAATTTAATCATGCATTACCACTGCCGAAGTAATCACGGCTCGGACTCAATAAGGTGAAGCGGAAAACTGCATACTTTTTAAGCTTTTTTGATTTAATTTATCTTAGAGTGTAGAAAGCGAGTGGAAAATTATCTACGAACTGCACACAAGGAAATTAAAACTTCTTTGACCCGCTTTACCTTCTATTGGCTTCCTGCACTATAGTGCCGAGAAGAGCACGCAGAAAAAACTACACGAAACGAAAATCAATTATTTTATTCATGTGTTTCACTTATACATTTTTGTCAAACATCAGCCTTATACATTCCATAAGACAAACCATATAGGTCCTATAAGAATGCATAAAAGGTATGTGTGACCGCTTATACATTTCATTTGACACATGATCTTCATAAACTTTTTGCAAGGCGTCTGCTTATTAGTTGACTTATACATTTTATGAATAATCAGCAATAGAAATTTGCCAAAAGGTATAAGGAGATTTCTATCCGTGTATAGTCGAAACAAAAATATTTGAGGTAAATTTAAATGTATACTCAGTTTGTTCTGGCCACAAAAATAAATAAGGTTGAGTTTGAAGTCATGTGAAATCAATATTTATAATAAAAATATTGTTACGTTTATTTTAAAAATATTCGTGTGGAAAATAAACGTATTTCTTTTTGTTTGGTTTGACAGCTATGCGAACACAAATGAATATGTTTATTTTAAACATGTGTCTCATGTTTAAAATGAACATACATATTTTGAAATTATTTTAGTAGTTGAGTGCAGGGCAGAGCAAAATAAAACGGATTGCAAAGAAATGAAAAAAGCTCGTGCTCCAGTCGCACATGAAAACTGTGTGCCCGCCCATTCCGTTCAGCAACGAACAAACAGGGATCCGGAGTACTTGCGTTGAACCCAAAGCTTCTCAGCCTTGGTTCCAGCACCTCGCGCTCTGCTTCAGGCCATGGATGCTGTACCGCAAATGACACACTTTCTTCTCCTGTCCACGAACTGCATAGCCTGGTGGTTGACGCATGTACAGTTCTTCATTGACGTCGCCATAGAAGCAACAATCAATACGAAACTAACGATTTTAAATTGGCTCACTACTTGACTAGCCTATTGGTCCCAAGCAAACGATTAACGTATCCCATTCTAGTCGAAATTCTAGTACTACGCAATGTTTGTTTTGATTCGCTATGAAAGTTTGACAGATAAAATGAGGGGTTATTGGTTTTTCCTATGTTTCGAGGGGTGAATTGATTAGCTTGGGACCGAAGAGAGTACCAGAGCTGAGCCAAAAAGTTGAGCACGTTATTTCGGGACCTTCTAGTCTTAGAGTTACCTCTATGATAGAAGTGCTTTAAAAACAAACCATTCTTCCCCGCCAGCGCTAGCAATGTCCACATGTCCAGTGACATGCCTAGTCCACATGTCCAGTGACATGCCTAGTGACGGAAGCAAACACCTCCTCACTGAGAAAAAGTCAATGATTGTTTCTATGTGTTCCACACATAGATTTTTGCAATTAGATTTATAGTATAGTTTCTATATGCCAGACACATAAATCTCACTATCACATGTCATCTCTATATGTGATCACACATACTGTTTATAAGACACATGATCTGTATGTGTTTTGTTCCATGATATCTAATTATGTACGGCCAAAAATATTTTATAGAAAATTTCCATTAGTTATGTGTGGATTTTTACTAGTGCTCAAAATCTACTCCATACTGCGAGCCATACTGCCACCGGTTGGAAACTAACGATTTAAATTGGCTCACTACTTGACTAGCCTATTGGTCCCAAGCAAATCGATTAACGTACCCAAATCTAGTCGGAATTCTAGTACTACACTATGTTTGTTTTGATTCGCTATGAAAGTTTGACAATTAAATTAGGGGTTCATGGATTTTCGTATGTTTCGAGGGGTGCATCGATTAGCTTGGGATCGAAGAGCGTACCATAGCTGAGCCAAAAAGTTGAGCACGTTTCTTTGGGACTTTCTGGTCTTAGTGTTACCAACAATCAATACGAAACTGACGATTTTAAATTGGCTCACCACTTTAGTAGCCTATTGGTCCCAAGCAAACGATTAACGTACCCTATTCTAGTTGAAATTCTATTACTACACTATGTTTGTTTTGATTCGCTATGAAAGTTTGACAGATAACATCAGGGGTGTGTGGATTCATGCAGAACATGCAGGGGTGAGTGAAATAGCTTGGGACTGCTTGGGACCGTTGTTCTGGTACTGAGTGAGCCAAAAATAATAATGATTTTCTTCGGGACCCAGTGGTCTTAGAGTTACCTCTATGCTATAACCACACAAAAAGAACAAAAATTGTTGCTATAAAAATGCATGATCAAATTAAAAGTTTCCTAAATTTCGTAGTTTCTAATATGAAAACTTTCATAATTAAACTTATTTTTTTTTATTTAAAAGTGTTTCTTTCCCTGTCCGCTTGTTATTTTAAAAGTCGATTTTTTAAAATAAAAGTTGTAAATTTGTCAAAAAATCTCTTCATTGTTTTTTGACAGTACTGGACCTGTGTTTCCCGCCAAATTTCCCGCTGCATCAATAGAAATTTGCCAAAAACTTATAAGGGGATTTCTATCCGTGTAATAACTCAGCAGCGAAAACATTCCCTGTTGAATTTGATATTGTGGGTGCTAGATGAGAAACTCCTTTATCAAAATATGTTGCAAAATAGTGTGAAATATGTTTGTATAGACGTGGTTATTAAAAAAAGAAAGTCGAACAAGATAAGCGATCAAAGCAGATGGGACCTTTTGAAATGTTCATAGAGAATTTTCATTGAATTTTTCGAATATTAAATTTGAATCAACACCAAAAAACTTCCAGGCTCTGATCTGACATATACATTCGAATTTAAAAATAATTTCTCTGCGTGATAATAAACGTGTACCATAACAAAAGGTGTGTGTGGGTGTGCAACTACACAACTTAAGGTACACACAAAAAATAAACGTTAATAGAATTAAAAAAACCGTTGGTAGAATTAAAAGTTTGCATTGGTTCTTTTTGGTAGAAAGTCAGAAACTTTCAATTGCAAAAGACATGAACAGTTAAAATAAAAATGCTGAATCCTTTGATTTTAAAAGTCACAACTTTTATGATTAAATTTTATAAATGTCAAATTAAAAGTTTCTACTTTTGAAATGAAATTGTAGAACTGTCAAATTAAGAGTAGGTTAGGTCAAAATAAATTTTATCTTATTTCAAAATGAGAGCGTAGTTAATCAAATAAAATTTTATTTCTTTTTAAACATAAAGTTCATTGTTTTGATTTTTACGTAAATAAATATATTTTTTAAATGTAAAACTAACAAAAAAAAAAAATTAAAAATATTGAATTGTGGAATTGTCCGCCATCCTCGTCAGCATCTGTTGAGCCGTCCATGCAATCCACTCCCCCTGCTTCAACCTTAAACTGTGGTGCTACCGTTTCAGCCATCTGGCTCAGAGTCCGGTGTGACCCAATCCGGAACGATGATCTTACTTTTGACTGATGCTGAAATTTCCGAAAAGAAAGCGATTCTATTATCGTAAAAAACTCTCTAGTCTGAATAAGGCATTATCGTAGATAAACTTACCATATTGATCCTGTGGTATAGCTGTATTTTATTTATATTTTCAGCCGGTCTAGCTCACGGATGATCCGGTGAATGCAGCAGGGATTTGTTTTGAAAACTGGTCGAATGAAATTAATAAAGCAAGCTTTTCAATTCTCGTTTTGCGCGTTTTTATTTTTATTTACTCACGTTATTCAAAAACTAACCAGAAATGAGTAGAAACCTACCCCCGAAGAAGTTGTTTTGACAGTAAAACAATTTTTGATTTGAAAATCTGCACTTTTAAAACTGCAAGTTAAAATCAAAACATCTACTTTTGGATTGAAAATAACCTTGTTGTTTCAAATATTTTCATAGTTCAAGTAACAAATTTTGGGGTACTTTTAAATTGAAAGGTTAATATTTTTACTGATACAATTTTCGTTTTTTGTGTGTAGGGATGAAATTCTATTCAAGTGCACGCATAAAATTATTGTTAATAAAATTAAAAAGAAACCATTGGTAAATTAAAAGTTTGCATCTAGGAACGTGAACTTTAATAAAATCTTTTTATCTATGGTTCATAATCTTTAATGGTTATGGTATACGGTTTTTACAATATCGATCAAATTTAAATGGAATATATTATCACGTGTTGGTAACCATACAATCAATAACCAAATTATTGTAAAACGGTCAAATTTAAGGGATATGATCGGGAATATGATGACTACACTCAAAAAAATTATCACATATCTAATGGAATAAAACATAATTTATAGAAATTTTCTATTAGTTATGTGTGGATTTTTACTAGTGTATGAATTTCACATAGCTTTCCTGTGATCACATAGCTGCAAGCACACCACAAAATCACGTGAATATTATGAGGCCGATGAAATTCATTTGCAAAATCACATAAATTTAATGGAATCGCATAAATGTTTTCACGTTATGAATTCCATTAACTTTGGTTATAGACATACTTTTTTCTGTGTACTTATGCAGGTTTATCAGTGCGTATTTATATTTGGCCACACTGCACTGCACTCATTCCGTAAATACTCACATTCACTCAGTACCAGTCTATCAAGTGCACCATGTCTATCAAACAATCAAACGCCAAAACTCAGCAGTGCTGCCACCTTTGTTCCGATGTTTACAGGAATGCTCTTATTTGTTTTAAATCGAAACAACTAACTTTGATATTTGAATTTTAACCAAGGTATTGTATTTTTTCATATGATGAATTTTATACGTTTCTTTTGTATCATCATATCGGCTGCAATTCTGCTCGAATTTAAAACACTTTGGAGTTGATAAGGATTATACGTCACGGTAGCCGTGATGTAACTTCGCTTTTGTTTGCCACAAACTATTCTGGCAGCACGGCTCCCATGTCAATCAGCGAAATAAAATGGAGAATTTCGAGTGATTGTTGTTTTGCACAACATAAATCTCGCGTGCGGGTTGTCAAAAGTTTGTGTATTTCGATTGTTTAAAACCGGATGAAAAGTGTTGAAAACTAAAGTGAAATCTGGCCGGATCATGATGGATATTGCGTAAATCGGAACCGGCCATCATCCAGCGCACAAGGGGCAAAGAAAAAAGTACAATTTCGGAGGTAACCATCCATCTCGTTGAGGCCCGTCCGTAAGAAGCAAATCGTAAGGAGGCTTGCTCTTCTGCTTGGTGGGAGTGAAAAGAAGGCTTCGAAAGAATCTGAAAAAATGCGCCTCTTCCCGCAATTCCGTGTTTGATATCGGTGTGGCATTACATCACAGCGTGATTTAGGAATTCGGTCAAAGTGAAACCCAGGGTGGGCAGAATCCGCGCAAAAGAACGATGCTCTTCAAGTTTTCTATATCAATTATCTTTTTTGGCGGTGGAGTGAGATCGACACTGATGGACAGTGACGTGAGTGAGCGAGTGAGAAGGTAACGGGATTAGGAAGAAAATAGTGTACAGAAGAATGGGAGTCCGAGTCGTCGCCGGAGGCCGCCGCAGGGTGTAAGACACAGCGCGCAGAAGAGACGAGAAACGCGAGAGTCTTCAGTGTGTGGCGTGGTGTGACCAGGTGGTATAGCGGGTTCAGTGCTGGCAAGTGAAAAATAAATATTTTGACCGGTGTGCGATGGGAGGGAAGATAACGCTAGCAGGTCGATTAGCACGTCACAGTAACGAATTGAATCAATCAAAAGATTTAAGTATCTGATGCTACTCTACCTATCTTTAAAAATAGCTTATCTCTAGCAGTAGATAAACGAGACTTCCCGTAATTCATAATAATGAATTTTAGTTGACTTCATGCCCCAAACCAAAATAACATCTTTTATTTTTTTTATAATATGTTCATAATTTATACGCATTTCTAATGCTTTAATCTAGCTGGAAGGATATTCTTATGGTTTAATTGGTCATGTCGCATGGTGAAGGGTTGAATGGTTAATATTTTTTTTTGGTTTTCCATTTTTGTTGGCCTGGTTTTCAATTTTAGTGTAGAGAAGCAAGTTAAAGCTGATTGGTTTCTTGGACCATAATTTTCACTGAGAGCTTATAAAAATACCTAATTGGGCTCCATGGACTTTTTAATTAGTAAAATAGTCCAATTCTATTGTTCTACAACAGAACCACATAGAATGACCGACAGTTTAATAGAAGTGACCTTTCCAACGATAGAAAACCATAAGAAAACGGATAGGTAGAATACGAGATAGGACATTATTTTGAAAAAGTTAACCCTCTCCTTCCCATGGCAGCATAAGTGATTCACAAGGTTTTGGTTTGCCTTATGTTTGTCAATGGATCATTGAATAGTCAGGATTGTTCTCATCCTTGTGTATTCTTGAGAATTCAACTGAGCAGCTATTGAAAAAAAAACAATTGAAATACTATTGATGTACTTTTGATCCAGCGCTTTTTTCAAAAATACATTTTTGCATCTAAAATCAATCGAAAAACCTTCTGGAAAGGAAAGGGTTAAGTAAAGCAACCATAAGCAGCATCCACGATTTTTGGGATCTTAAACCTGGACGACTTAAATTTCACTGCACATCACATCACAGTTAAAGTAAATCAAGGTGGCAACTACCTGGATAAATTATCAAGGAATTTCAATTAGCACTGAATTTTGCCACCAATGAGGGGCTGTCCACAAACTGGGTGGGTATAAGCGAGTGTCTACGGGTCATATCAATTGTTAAATAAACATATGAACGACTACTACACAGGGAGGTGGGTTTAAATCGCTCAAAAACTATCTTCAGTGTACTTTTTTTTGCAAGTAAATAAAGTAAATTTTTTGATTGATTGATTGATTCTATATTTACCGGAATCTTGGAAGTCCATGAACTTGCACTTTTCTTTAAACATGTCAGGCTTTTATTTGCGAGAAATCGACGGCCAAAGTTATTGTTTACAAAAGCATTTACGCCCCTTTGAAATGTTGGCACTGTCTAGACTAACATTTGAAAAGGGCGGAATTCCAAAATAACCATATCGAGTAAATCGCTTTAAAATTTTGATGACCTAAAAATTAATCCTATTTAACGACTTTCCATTTTCTGGATCATTTTATTAGCTTGACATATAGTTAGTAATGATCGTGCATCACTAAAAACTAAAAAAAAAGTTTTTCTGCCGTGAAATTAAGAAGAAAACATCATACGCCCTGATAATTTCTTACATTTTGTTACCCCCCGGATAGCGTTGCCAGATTGTTTTCGTGATTATCGGTATCAAATGATTAAAAAATCGGTATTTATCGGTATTCACTATTTTAATTAATTTAAAAAAATTTCAAACTTTTGGACTAAAATCAAAGGAAATATTTGAATTAGTCTCTTAATGGTACCGACAAAACTTCCAGAGAAAGAATAAAGAAGATCTCGTGGAGGAAGTTTGAAAAAAAGTTCTAAAAGATGTCAAAGACAAATATTGTGAATCTGTTGGCAAAAATGTTTAGAAACTTTCTGATAAAATCCAGAAGCTAGAAAAGTTTGGAAATCGGAAGCCAATCCCGGAGGAGCCATTTCCAGGGGAAGTTAGGAGAAGCTCGGAAAAACCTTACAATAAGTCGGAAAAAAACCAACCTTCCCAGAAGAAGACGAAAGAAACTTCTGGGGGAACTCGATAGATACATCCGGTAGAACTTTAAATGAACTTCCTGGAGAAGACGGAAGAAACTTCCAGGAGACACTGGGAGAAACTTCCAGGAGACACTGGGAGAAACTTCCTACGGTAGATTGGAAGAAACTTCTGGAAAAAGTCGGACGCCAGAGGGCTTACGGAACAGTCGAAAGATACTTCAAGGAGAAGATGGGAAATTATCTGGAAGAAATAGATTTCTGGGTTCTCTGAACTTCAGTGGCGTCGCGTCCACATGTGCAACCTGTGCACGACACAGGTGTAAATAATTTTCAAAAATGCGTTTAGATTTTCATAGATTTTAATGGTCAGTGATAGTGATCTTTACTGCAGACCACAAGTGACCATGAATACACTATTTTATAGTGTGGTTCAATTAAATCTTCGACCTTGGTTTGCTTCAAAAAGGGTTAACTTCAGTTCGGATGGTCTGCCTAATCCTTAATGCATTGATTTCTAAGCGTGTCGATAACACTACCATGACAAAACTCGTTAAATAGTGCACCTAAAAGCGAGCTTTTTTGGGTTGCGGGTTGTAATTGAAGCTTTCAGCAGTCACGCGTCAAACGGGAGCAACACGGAAACAGCAGTCTGGTACGCTTTGGACGTTATCATACTTGCAGACCGGTTCGAATTTGTGAGTTTAAATTAGAAGAAAATTTGTGATGTATGGGTGCCTAAAGCATGCATTTCTCGCTGTGCACTTGGATGTCTGATTTCAGACAAAGAAAGTAATGGAGAAAGAGAGCGCAAAAGCTGAACTTTCCAATTTTTTAATTTTTTTTAAGTTCTCGAAACTGCCGATAAAAACACAGAGCTTCCCTAAAAATGTTCTCACAATTTTCTAATGCTCATGTAACTTCCCTTACGTCTCCAAAATTTTCATGAACCTCTCGGAATTTAACTGAAGTTTTCGGAAATTGCCTGAGTTTCTCGGAACTCATTTAAAGGTTCAGAAATCTCCTTGAATTTATATTCCTGATGTTCTCAAAGCTTCCCTAAAATTATCTCAATTCTCCTGAAACAAATGGAACTATCCTGAAAACCATTAAATTTCTTTAAAGTTTATAAGTTTATTGTTGCCATACATCAACAGGCTGGCTGTAGCCCAAATGATGTTAATAATACTAATCATAATAATAATAATAGTAAAATTAAATGTCAAATAATCACAGAAAGAGAAACAAAGCAACATGGTCAGAATGTAAAAAAAAACATAAATGTAAATACACTAATTTTCTCTGTCAGTCACTCAATTTAATTATTAAGTGGAGCTGCATACAAGACAAGTCTTGAAAGGATGGTGGCTACCTTACATACATACATACATACCAACTGGCGAAGACATTAAGCTGATGTTGAAGATTGTGGCAGTCAGCGATCGAGCAAATTCGTAAAAATATTTTGAGGTCGTCTGCATATGCTAATCGAGGTCCTTCGATAACCAGGTTCACGTCGTTGAAGTAGAGTAGAAAAATCAACGGTCCCAGATGGCTTCCCTGCGGTATACCTGATGTGGCAAAGAAGCTAGCTGATTTGCAATCTCCTATAGCAACCATAAGTTGGCGACCAGTAAGATACGAACGGAACCAACTCAAGAGATTACCGCTCACCCCAAGCCTGTCAAGTTTAGCAATCGCAATGTCATGTCAATTCAACTTATCGAATGCCGCGGATAGATCGGTATATATAACGTCCGTCTGTACCCGTTCAGTCATACTATCGGTAATGTAGGATGTGAGGCATAGCAGATTGGTGGTTGTAGAGCGACCGCCAGTAAACCCGTGTTGATCAGCACTCAGATACTGCTTGCTGTGAGAGAGCAACGGTTCCATAATAACAAGCTCGAATAGTTTCGAAACAGCACTCAGCGAAGTTCTTTGGGCTTGTGAAGTTTCCAAAATATGTCAGTTTCCTTAAGTTCATTTGAGTTCTCTGGGCTTTCCTGAAATTCCCGGGTTCTCTGATATGAACAGAAGCTAATGAAACTGTCTATAATTTATCGGAACCTACCCAAAAGTCCGGACTTCTGAAGTTTCAGAACTTCTAAAAAGTTCCTGAAGTTTTCCTGAAACTAATGGAACCGCAATAAAACTCTGGAAGCATTTCTGAAGGGAGGAGACGGAAGAACCTTTCGAGCGAAACCAAAAGAAGCATCCAAGGGAAGTCGAAATAGACTTCCGGAAGGAATCGGAAAATAACTTACAGGGCAGGGTAAGGTGCACGGAAATTCCTAGGAAAAGTTGGAAGAAACTTCAAATGGAAGATTAAAGAAATTTCAGGACGTTCAAAAATTAACGTTTTTATGCGCCTATTGTTCTGTCCTGAATAAAAGTATTTCCCGATTTCCAGAAATTATTGGGATAAACCATCAGCTGTTTCACGACTCCTTGGTAACCAAAAACGCTAGGAACTGTAAGGATTAGTCGAAAGAGTAACAAGCATAAGACATTTTTGAAGATGTTTTTTTTTAGAGCAGGCTCAAAAAATTTAATTTTCAAGAAGATAAATGTCTCTCACAATAGTTTCCTCTGAAATTAAGTGCGGGCAGACAGTAATAATTTTGATTATTAATAAAAAATCGGTATTAAAACTCAAAAATCGGTATTCTGATAAACCTTATCTGTATATCGGTATCAAGTTTGAAAATCGACATAAATAATATATCGGTATATCTGGCAACGCTGCCCGGATCTTCCACCATTTGAACTGCCAACACTGGTGATGCGCCATGGAAATACACCCTCGGGATTTTTTGTTTGTTGTTTCGCTTTGGTTCTTCGTTAGAAAATTTTGTGAGAGTTTTTGGTCTTCTTTAATATCAATCGGATGCATTTAAAATTAATCGGGCCTGACTAGATACTACAGAATCAGTCCGTTTGGCATATTAAATCAATATAATTCGTAGTTTTAGTGCAAGGCGTAACAACCAGATGCATCATAGAGTTGAAAGTTGGAAATACGCCATGTAAGAAGAAACGTTTTTGATGATTTGAAGTGATACTTTTTCTAGTAGTTTGTGGACTGTTCTCTCTATATGTGGCAAAATATGGTTTGTTTACATTTTGGCTCTTCCGCCCCTTTCAAATGTTAGTCTAGAATTAATCATATTTAGGGGAAGAAACGAGAAAACCTAAGGAAATTGATTATCACTATATGCTGGTCATCGTAAATCATTTTATAAATAATTTTGTCGATTTTTTAACAAAACATATATAACTTACATTTTCCAATAATTTTACATGACAATCTAAAGCTTACTATTTTTCTGATCATCTCTTCGTTTATACTTTAAAGTTAGTTGCAATGGTTGCAATACTTTTCGCTGACCTTTCTTTGCATTGTAATGTTTATTTACTTTGCACGATAGGTAGACGGTTTGACAGTTCAGTAGGTAGATTTGGGTTCACTCTTAGGGGCGTTTCAAATATAACGTCCACTCTTAAGGGGAGGAGGAGAGTCCTAGAATTTGTGACAGTACGTGTAATAGCAGGAGGCTGGCAACCCCATATCAATCCTATACGTTTGACAGTAGGCAAGATCACGGGCCTTATTTAAATACGTGTTGTAAGCAGAGAGACATAAGCAGTTGATAGCTGAGTAATAGGGATGAGAAAAAAACGTGGGGCGAAGGGCGGCGGTAAATAAATCGAAAAACTTGTGGATGTAATATTTGAATCGCCTCCTATACACAGACTCTATCATCGTTGAGCCCCCAACGCAAAGTAAACAGGACGGAGACGGATGACGAGTTTGACGTCAATCTCCGTTACGATTTGTTATAGGGCATGGGGGTTTGTAGAATTGGGTTGTTTAATTTTGAAAAAAGTATCGGTTTACATCATCTGAAAGAGCTTCGTTTTCTGAGCACAGCGATATTTTTTTCGTACCCACACACTTTCATCTTGATTTTTAAATCAAAATTGAAAACAAAATAATAACTTCACTGTTTGACACTAAACTAACAAACTGACAGCTCGCTCCCATATAAATGGACACCGAGGGGCGCTAATAAAGTGATTTTTGCAAATGTTATCGTAATTATTTAAAATAGTTCCAGTTTACCAAAATTGATGAAATTTTGGGTTTAGGTTCCACTTTTAATGTAGATTACGAATATACATTTACCTCAATACCCTTAAAGAACCCAATTGGCATATTCCGCGATGCGTAATATTTGCACGGGCTCATATCAATCAACCAATTCTGTTGAACATATTTTTTTTAACTACATAAATTGAAGAGACACAGCTTCAAACAACAATTTCTATACACATTGAATATTTGTCATTCTAAAACATCGTCGCTAGAACACTACCGCCATCTGTTGAGTACACTGTGATGTGCACTACGCTCAACAGATGGCAGTAGTGTGTACACGTCAAACGCAAAGGAATTTACTATGCGCGCCTCAGGTGGCAGTACTACCATAGAGGTAACTCTAAGACTAGAAGGTCCCAAAGAAACGTGCTCAACTTTTTGGCTCAGCTCTAGCACTCTTTTCGGTTCCAAGCTAATCGATGCACCCCTCGAAACAAAGGAAAATCCACGAACCCCTCATTTTATCTGTCAAACTTTCATAGCGAATCAAAACATACATAGTGTAGTACTAGAATCTCGACTAGAATAGGGTACGTTAATCGATTTGCTTAGGACCAATAGGTTAGTCAAGTAGTGAGCCAATTAAAAAGCGTTATTTTTGTATTGATTGTTGGTACTACCATCTTAGATATATTTAAATTTACCGTTAAATGCTTGTTCGATGAACGACTTGCGAGTTTTATGACTGTTTGCCTGTGTCTAAAATGAATTTACAATTCAGTGTCAAAATTTCAAAGGGGCGTAATTGCTGTTGTAAACAATGGCTTTAGTCGTTGATTTATAGCAAATAAAAACTTACACCTCCAAATGCTTGCTGGTTCGTCTACCAGTCCTCTGTTTGTTGGTGTCATTAATTTTCATGCGTGAGCTTTTGTTCGCGAAAAATCAACGGCTAAAACAATTGTTTACAAAAGCAATAACGCCTCTTTGAAACGTTGACACTGAATTGATATATAGTGCAGTAAAATAAGAAAATACGTTGTCAATTAGACACGTCTACCTGATATCCGATAGTTGTCGGGTAGATTAAAACTGATGTCGACTCAATGTTGGGTTAGTGTTGGGTGAATGTTGAATTCATTTCGGTCGGGCTGGGGTCTGCTAAAAGGTTAGTTGGTGCCTGGTTGGCTCAAGATTCTCGTCAGAAGTTCGACCAAGCCGACCGACCAATCCCAATTTTGATCAAGCCTTATTTTTGGGAAAAAAACCTATAGAAAACAATAAGGTTATCTTCGGAAAATTTTAACTCGAAAATGGTTTGTTCGACCGGTTTGGTGCCTTCGGCAATGTTGTAGGTTAAATATATTTAAAAAACTGAAATTTTTGGAAAAATATAAAAAAAACATGGTCCCATTTTTCTTTCGACTTGATATAATGAAATAACATAATCAAATAGGCTTCAAGCTTCAAGTCTTCAACAGATTTTTTGTATTTTTTTTTTTTCAAGAATTTGATTTTGATGCGTGGAACATTGCACCGTTGGTGAAATTGCCCCACTTTCGCCTACATGCTTTCGTCAGTTGGGTTCTGTACAGGTGCCTTACCTTACCTTTACCTGTTCTGGTAATGCGTCCTTAGCCCCATAACGTGGGTAGATCACCTTTTCGTGGTACGTTACAGGATGTAAATCTACCACCAATTCCTAGTCCAGGAACACATCTTAGTCCTTTTTTCTATTTATGTCTTGTTGATAGCTCGGCTTTGTCTACCGAGGATGAATAGCGGGACCTTTCAATTAGAATCGATTCCTTGCGATGAAGGCAAGAATGACAAAGGTATCAAAACCGAATACTTCATCATTTCTCAATAGTGATGGAGTAATAGGACATGCACTAAACTAAGGACACGGGATATGCTACAATAGATCAAATTCGACAGTGAGCATGCATAATAGACTGATGCAAAATTTGAAATTTTCGCTCCACAGTGCTTAAACGGCTGCAAATTGGGTCCTGCTTAGCCTACCAAAATTTGAACTACTTTAGTAAGAAGCTGACTTGGCACAATCCATTTCAAGTTTATATGGGAATTGCTATGGAAAAACTTATGTATTTGTGCATATATATCTAACAATTCACTAGATTACTATGCTTCTAAAAATAATAGCAGTGATTGTAGCAAATTTTCTCAGCTACAACTTATTAAAATGTATGAAACAAAAGTTATTAATGATCCAATTCACTGATGTCTTATGATTATGCTCATTAAACTGTTCAGCAGGCAGCATTGGTATATCTGGTGAGAAGAATAGAGCACAAATATCATGGCTACTATGTCACACTGCAGAATACAGTGTTGCCAGCAGAACAGCTGCTTGATCATGCCATAAGATTATCAATTTCTTAAACAATTAATAACTATTTAAATTTTCAAAAAAGCGATATGGAAATTGGGTAGAAGACAACGAACAAAAAGTTTGGTTTTAAAAAAAATAACCATAAAAGAGAGCTTAACGATATGTTCGAGGTATAATCCAAACCATTCGTGGGATAGTTTACCCATCCGGGATACAGTTCGTTTATGGTATTTGCTTATTAGGGTAGTAATTTCCATATAAACTGCGAATGATTTGTGTCAAGTCAGTTTTTTACCAAATGAGTTTAAATTTTGGGTTGCTAATCAGGACCTTATTTGAAGCCGTTTGAGCACTGTGGAGCGAAAATTTCAAATTTTGCATCAGTCTAATGCATAAGGGCGTAAACGCGATGATCGATTCTCTTCGTCGATTTTCTCTTTTGTTAAAAACTCGCTAGATTTAACGTGATATAAAATCTTGGGGGAGGAGGGTGTCTAAAATCTCTCAAAACTGTCTACGTGGTTTGTGGACAGCGCTTTCCGGGTCGAAACAATATCATTGTGCTCAGAAAAGTGATGTTTCGTTAAGGCGGAGGCATTAAAAAATCATTTTTTGCGTTACGTAATATTAGAACGAACCTTCATCTCAATAATCCGTGAAGAATCCTATTTTTAAAGTAATGTGTGTGACATGTTTCCTTTCTATATAGGTAAAACTTGAAAATGATAACCGTGGTTACTTGTGACGGAAGTACAATGAATAAAAGACGTAGAACATGTACGCTTTAATAAGTGAAATGTGGAAGAGAACAGTGTATGGTCAAATTTATAACTTATAACTGAAATAAACATAGAAAATCACCACCGTATCTGGAAGAAGTCTTTAAAGAAATAACCAAACGAATAGTCTGTGCGGTTTGGTGGATGGGTAGTCGATTTTGACAGACCGCGGACCAGAATGAAGGAGATGGTCGGTGGTTGCTGTGTTTGCTCCGATGATCGGGGATGGTCGGAGAACCCTCTGGTCTATTGTGATGGACAAAGTTGTGCGGTGGCCGTTCATCAGGCGTGCTACGGAATAGTGACGGTTCCCAGCGGACCATGGTACTGTCGAAAGTGTGAAAGTCAAGAACGATCTGCTCGTGTTCGGTGCGAGCTATGCCCTTCTCGAGATGGTGCACTTAAGCGGACCGATAATCAAGGTTGGGCACATGTGGTATGTGCTCTGTACATTCCGGAGGTGCGCTTTGGAAATGTCACTACGATGGAACCAATCATATTGCAGTTGATTCCACAGGAACGGTATAATAAAAGTAGGTGGTCCTTGAATTTATTGCCCAAGCCTTGTGCAGTACATGATATCCGAATGAAACGTATTTCATCCTTCTCCTCCTCAGCATGTTACATTTGTCAGGAATTGGGAAAAGGTTCCCGCTCGACAGCAGGCGCTTGTATGCAGTGCAACAAATCAGGTTGTAAACAACAGTTCCATGTAACTTGCGCTCAGCAACTTGGACTACTCTGCGAGGAAGCAGGAAACTATTTGGATAACGTCAAGTACTGCGGGTACTGCCAGCATCATTATAGTAAATTGGTAAATTCTGCTCATAGCTTAATGCTACTTAATTAACTCCACTAACAATCAAATTTATCCTTCCATTATATAGAAAAAAGGAGGCAACGTCAAAACAATTCCACCGTACAAGCCGGTTAGTCACGAAACAAACTCCAGCGATGGACCATCGTCTCCGGAAAAGGAGCTTGAACCTTCTACATTGCAGCAACATCCCAGTGGCAGCAGTATGAGCGGTGGAAGTGGAAGCAGTAGCATGAAATCCAACAATCGATTACCGGGAGAGCAAGGTAGCTCATCTTCGGCATCATCGTCGTCGAAGCAAAGGAAGTCGTCCAGTGCTTCAAAAGGTTCGACCAATTCAATTGCGACGTCGTCATCATCTGCCATTGTTAGCAGTGGAAGCGGAAGCGGCGGTATGGTCAGTCAAACGGGAAGCACTGCATCTGCAGGAATTGCTAGCATAAACTCTGGAGCCTCCAGCAGTAATGCCCCAGGAGGAACCACTGTGAAAACGAGTTCGTCCTCTTCTAGTAGCAGCAATAAGGATAAAGATAAATATAGCAAAAATGTAAATAAAGTGTCCAGTACAAACAAAAGTCACGATAAGGAACCATCGTCATCTTCGTCATCGTCCTCGTCTTCACAACGGGACAAAAGCTCTAAATCATCTAAATCCAACAGTACCAACAGCAGTACTATGGGTAGTGGAAGCAGCAGCAGTACTACTGGTCTGGGATCCTCAGTTAGCAATTCAACTAGTTCCAATATGAGCAGTTCCCTTCCTAAAGAAAACGATTTCTCCTCACTGTCGGCACCTACGTCTTCAGCCTCACCGATCCCCTCCAGTTCCATCAAGCAGCAACAGGAAGGTTTAGCTATCAAACCAGAGAAAACTTTAGCCCAAATTTCTTCTGCAGCTGCATCTTCAGCTCGGGCAGCATCCCTTTCGCCTGCTGCCATTCCTACGACGCTGATCATCAAACCCCCTCACGACCATTCGGGTACCAACAAGGAGATGTTGTCGAAGGAAGCTATCGCTAAGTTTACCACGTCGAATTTCACCGAAACGATAGTTGTCAACTCTGATTCGGTTTTCGGAACCTGTACCACTAGTAGCAATAGCGGTAACACCGCCCCAAGTGGCCCTATGGGAGGAGCTTCTGGAAACAACCCGAACAGTGCGGGTTCTTCCACTGGTCCCCCTTCGGTGATCGAAACGGGAACTAGCAGCGGTAACAACAAGATGACTGTTTCCGGAGGAAGCTCGTATTCCAGCTCCAGCTCAAGCATAGCGAAGAAAAGGAAAGCCGATGCTAGATCTACACCGACCTCGATATCCAGTATTGACATTGATATAAATCGGTAAGGAAGTTAGGTCTATTATGAAGTTAAACAATCATGTTTAAGGTTCGTTTAAATTTCAGTGATTTGATTAAAGACGTCGCTGTTTCTCTTGTGCCATTGCCATTCAATAAGAGCGATAACATCGATCCTGCTTGCTTGAGTGGCATCGAGAAAACGATCAAGAAGGTAAGTGGACAACTTACATAATTACCTATTGTACACACAGTGATGGATCGCTCTTTTAGGGCTTTTTCATTACTTTTTATTATAGAATGCTAACGTAAAATCCAGTTGAATTTTCAGTTAACCCATCGTAAAATAGATAGCTTACTGCTATTAATCTCCCTATCAAAATGCAAATTTTCCGCACCGTAGAGCCACACTATGTTTTTACTGAAGGTGCACTCGAGAGTGCTCTCAAGTGCACCTTCAGTGAAACACAAACTGTGGGTCTGCGGTTTGAAAATTTTGAATTTTGATAGGGTGATTAATACCCCTAAACTATCTATTTTATTATGGGTTAACATTGAAACATTGTAATGCGAGTAATTTCAAATCAAGTTTCCTACCACTCGAACATTGTCGTCGAACAATATGTTGACATTTTTTTTTCAAGAAAATAAGGTCTTACTTATGCTTAGCTAAAAAAAAATGGAATTGATTGCTTCATTTTCTTAGAATCACTGGTTGAATCAAACCTGCTCGACAATATGATTAATTGTAGAAACTTATTCAGTCAATTCTCTTAAGCTGACACAATACCTACCACAAGACCTTATTTTAAACACAAGGAGTTTTTCAAGAAAATTAATCGGAAACCTAGCCAAAAGATGCTCTATGTTTTCTAACATTTTTAATTATTCACCATAAAAATTACTCAAAAATATGTGATGGCATGTGCTATGAATTAGATAATTGATAATAATTTTAAAATACATTTGCTCTTTCAATGATATTTTGTCGATTATTGGATAAGGCAACCATGTTAAATAATACACCCAACATGGAAATGTAAGATTTCTTTACAGATTTGCATTAAAGTTGTACAGAATCCGTAATGTATCACCGAGTGTATCACCACATGAGCAGATTGATACATTTTCCAATTAAGTTTGTTGCCACTGTAGCTAGAAAATCGCACCGTGAAAGTTTTAGGTATATGAAAATATTAATTCTTTAAAAAAAAAAACCTGCTTATATGATGCAATTCCTTGCCAGAACTCCCATTACCATGTTTTAAAAAATAAATCAAAGTATTAAAAAATTCCACCCTTACAGTTGATGTAAACGACCCTCTTTTCTAATTCACTGTAATTCAAATGACCATTATGCCAAACGACCCACTATCTTGTTTGCATGTTTTTCGTAGATTATAACAAATGGACATTATGCCAAATGGGCTTCCCCCGCTAAAAACATATTAAATTTTCTAAAGCATTGAAATTTACTGCGTCCTTACCCTTTTATATTTTGTACACATTCCTTGGAATGAGAAAATTTTGTCACGGTCTACTAGATGTTCCATTTTTCAGCAATTATCGTAAAATACGCTTTTTGTTGGTGCATTATGCCATTAAATCATAAAAAGCGGGTAAGATCTATAATCTATTTGATTCTGCTAAAAGATAGGACATGACTATATGCATATTGTTGATCGTTGGGGAAGGGGCAAGACTATAGACTGTCTAGTTATAGACATGCGGATGTCAGTTTGACGTATCCAAAAGAACTGTCAGAGCGTGTATCCAAACGAGCAGAAGAAATGTCACACGTTTTTGTTGGGGGAAGTATTGTAATTTTGGATATTAAAGATTTATTAAATTATTTGGAATATTATGTTTCGAAAGTAAAACGTATTATTTAGTTAAATTTGAAATTGATAAAAGCTTACGCAGTGAGTGAGAACAATTTACCTCGATTTTCCAGAGAAAAGTGTTCGAATATGAAAAATTATTGAAACGGTTTGGATGAAGCTTGGTCCTAAAGTAGATTTAGGAACCAACATTCAAACTACGGAAACAGGTGAAAAACGAATGAGGAAGTAAAAATCAACAAACAAGCTGCTGCCGAAATCGGTTTGTTTTGATTTTTGCTTTGAGTCATGAGGCGATTGAACTTTTTCCTTACTTACCTTACCAATCAGGCTAAGGCCTTGTTGTCCTCTGCTGTCCGAAGAAGTCGTCTCCACTCTACTCGATCCATGGCCACAGTTCGCCAGCCTCGTAGTCTGCGAAGGGTCCGCAGGTCACCTTCTACTTGGTCGATCCACCTTGCCCGCTGCGCGCCTCTTCTTCTTGTTCCTGTTGGGTCGCTTTCTAGAACCATTTTCACTGGGTCGTCGTGCGGCATTCTTACGACGTGCCCAGCCCACCGTAGTCGCCCAATTTTTGCAATGTGGACGATGGATGGTTCTCCCAGCAGCTGGTGCAATTCGTGGTTCATTCGCCTCCTCCACGTTCCGTCATCCATCTGCACTCCACCGTAGATGGTACGCAACACCTTCCGTTCGAAAACACCAAGGGCGCGTTGGTCCTCCACGAGCATAGTCCAGGTCTCGTGGCCGTAAAGGACCACCGGTCTAATCAGCGTCTTGTAGACAGTCAACTTCGTGCGGCGGCGAATTTTATTCGACCGGAGCGTCCTCCGGAGTCCAAAGTAGGCACGATTCCCTGCCATAATGCGTCTTTGAATTTCTCTGCTGGTATCATTTTCGGCGGTCACCAGTGAGCCCAAATACACGAACTCATCGACCACCTCGATTTCGTCACCGTCAATCTGAACTCGGGGTGGGAGGCTAACATTGTCTTCCCTAGAACCTCTTGCTTTCATATATTTTGTCTTTGATGCGTTGATGGCAAGTCCAATCCGTCTAGCTTCAGCCTTCAGTCTGATGTACGTTTCCGCCATCATCTCAAAGTTCCGTGCCATAATGTCAATGTCATCGGCGAAACCAAGGAGCTGGATGGACTTCCTGAATATCGTGCCACTCGTGTCTATCCCAGCTCTTCTGATCACACCTTCTAACGCGATGTTGAACAGCAGACACGAAAGTCCATCACCCTGCCGTAACCCCCTTCGAGATTCAAAGGGACTCGAGAGTGTCCCCGATACTCGAACAACGCACGTCACTCGATCCATCGTCGCCTTGACCAATCGCGTCAGTTTATCCGGAAATCCGTACTCGTGCATAATCTGCCATAGCTGATCTCGATCGATTGTGTCGTATGCGGATTTGAAATCGATGAACAAATGATGTGTGGGCACGTTGTATTCGCGGCATTTCTGCAGAACCTGCCGAATCGCGAAAATTTGGTCCGTGGTAGCGCGGGCACCCATGAATCCCGCTTGGTATTGCCCCACGAACTCTCTTGCATATGGTGACAGACGGCGGCATAGAATTTGGGAGAGTACCTTGTAGGCGGCGCTCAGCAGTGTGATCGCGCGGTAGTTGCAGCAATCCAACTTGTCGCCCTTTTTGTAGATTGGGCATACGACACCTTCCATCCACTCCTCCGGTAATATCTCCTCCTCCCAAATCTTGGCAATTACCCAGTGCAGCGCTCTAGCCAGTGCTTCACCACCGTATTTCAATAGCTCACTTGGTAGTTGATCTACACCAGTTGCTTTGTTGTTCTTCAGCCGACCGATCTCCTCCTCAACTTCTTGAAGATCAGGGGCCGGTAGCCTGTCGTCCTCTGCGCGTGCTCCAAGGTCTGTTGCCGTGCCACCTTCGTTTTCTGCTGCTTCACCGTTGAGGTGCTCGTCATAGTACTGCTTCCACCTCTCAATCACCTCACACTCGTTCGTGAGAAGGTTACCGTCCAAGTCCTTGCACATATCGGCTTGCGGCACGTAGCCTTTGCGCGAACTATTTAGCTTCTCGTAGAACTTCCGTGTGTCGTTTACGCGGTACAGATTTTCCATCGCCTCGCGATCTCGGTCTTCTTGCTGACGCTTCTTCCTTCGGAAAACCGAGTTTTGTCTGTTCCGCGCTTGTCTGTATCGCTCCACATTCAATCTCGTGCGGTGTTGCAGCATTCTCGCCCGTGCTGCATTCTTCTCCTCTACTAACAGTTTGCATTCGCCGTCAAACCAGTCATTTCTTCGGTCCGGGATTGCAGTACCTAGTGCCGCTGCAGCAGTACTACCTATGGCTGAACGGATGTCCCTCCAGCCATCTTCAAGAGAAGCTGCGCCAAGCTGCTCTTCCGTGGGTAGTGCAACTTCCAGCTGCTGCGCGTAGTCCTGGGCAACTCCGGTGTCCCGTAGTTGCTCAATGTTGGGTCGTGGCGTTCGACTTCGACGTGTGTTATGCACCGTCGAGAGTTTTGAGCGCATGCATACTGCAACTAGGTAGTGGTCCGAATCTATGTTCGCACTGCGGTACGTGCGGACGTTGATAATGTCGGAGAAGAATTTCCCGTCGATTAGAACGTGATCGATTTGGTTTTCTGTGTGTTGGTCAGGTGATCTCCAGGTGGCTTTGTGGATATCCTTGCGGGGGAAAAAGGTACTTCGAACTACCATACCCCGGGAGGCTGCAAAGTTCACGCATCGTTGGCCGTTGTCGTTCGATACGGCATGCAGGCTGTTTGGCCCGATTGCCGGTCTATACATTGCCTCCCGTCCTACCTGAGCGTTCATGTCGCCGATGACGATTTTGACGTCCCGTTGCGAACAGCCGTCGTACACCTGCTCCAGCTGCGCATAGAACGCTTCTTTCTCGTCGTCGGGTCTCCCTTCGTGTGGGCAGTGCACGTTGATGATGCTGTAGTTGAAGAAACGGCCCTTAATCCTCAACTTGCACATCCTCGCGTTGATCGGCTGCCAACCAATCACGCGTTGGCGCATCTTACCCAGCACTACAAAGCCGGTTCCCAGCTCGTTGGTGGTGCCACAGCTCTGGTAGAAAGTAGCCGCTCGATGCCCGCTTTTCCATACCTTTTGTCCCGTCCAGCAAAGTTCCTGCAGTGCTACGACTTCGAAGTTGCGTGGTTGAAGTTCGTCATAGATTAACCTATCGCAACCCGGGAAGCCGAGCGATTTGCAGTTCCATGTTCCGAGTTTCCAATCGTAGTCCTTATTTCGTCGCGTAGGTCTGTGCCGATTGTTCCGATCCGTATTTCTTTCTTCGGTATTTGCAACTTTGTTTTTTTCCAGGGCGGCTTGTTGGGCCTGCCCCAACCCCCTGTCTCGCCGGGGGACCATCGTGCACAGCTCTGTTTAGAGTCCCACGCTGGCACTAGGACGGTGATCAGCCGCTCCTAACATGGAGAACAGACGCCGTTTTGAGCCGCACCTCCATGGTGAGCAGACGCTCAGGTTTGGTGAAGCATTTCCTCTATCACCGTACTATGGTTACCGCGCCAGTGTTCGCGTCGCACCTCTTCACTTTGCTATTGCCGGACTGGCAACATTGCCCAGGCTACGCCAACCAGCTGTGTCCATGTTTCAGCTGGTAGTCTTTTGTTATCATATGACTCGAGGAGGCGTGAAGTAGGAACTTGTGAGGACCAGGGCTAGGTATTCCGCTCCTTCCAGGTTGTCAACTCACCATTTTGTAGCCCAACTTGAACTTTTTCCAGTGCTGGCAAATTTATGGTGGTATTTTCAGTTGCCAGATCTACGGATTCTGCATCCGCATGTCTATAACTAGACAGTCTATAGGCAAGACGGGTCACTGAACAAGATGAGTCATCTATAGTTCTTGATTTAGTTATTGTTTTGATTGTCAACATCAATAGGCTCGATGTAGCCCCAATGCTCGTTTGAAAAAGCAAACCATCATTGGGGTTGCATTGAACCTGTTGATTTTGACGAACAAATAAATTAATAAATGTACTAGCTGATCTATCTTGCCCCATGACCAATCTTTTCCCACTTTACCCTAGAGAAAGGATAAACATATTTTTTTTTTCATTAGGATCTTGATATATTCGCAATGTCACACAAAAACGTTTAATAAATATGATTTCCTTTGAAAAGGAAATAATGAAATAATTTATCACAGAGCTTTTCTGAGTGTTAGTTAGTTAGTAATCATTTGTGTTATATAACAAACATAGATCAGTGCACGGAATGATTCAACCTCAAATTCAGGGAACTGTAAAAAAGCACAACAAGTTGTTAGAATTAGTAACAATAGAACGAACCAATCTTTTAAATTTGTCGAACCTTTTAACGGAATCCCTCAACACACTCAAAGCTCTTTATATAAATAAAAACGAAATTTATTGTGGTCGTTCAGTTTTAAAGCTCTTGTGGATGTCCTCAGACTGTAATATTTCAATACTTAATATTACAGCCCAAACACTCCTAGTGACGTCATCGAAAAAAGTGTATATAAGACCCTGTAAACAAATTCCTTGAAATTTCAAAACTATAATAACGTCATCGTGCAATGGCGTCTATTGGGTCATAACTTTTTCTGGATTTATGAAAGCAAGTTCAATTATAGAGATTTTACCTCTGGTTTTCTTCCAGTGTGTCACGAGGCTTTACATGCAACACTTATCCTTAACACTTAAGAGAGAAGATCGTAGTTTTAATATCACCTTTCGTTTTAAATCCTTGTATTTCCTCTCACTGTAGATTACACGAGCTTCTCGACGCAACAGACAGGAGAAGGATAGCAGCTCCAGAAAAGAGGCAACGAATAAACGCAAGGTAAGTTCCCTATACACTAGAGTGGGTCATCGTTATATGGAAAAACGCATACTTTGATTGTATGACATTCCCCTGAAAGCCATTCCCTAGAATGCCATTTCCCAGAATGCTATTCCCCAGAATGCCATTCCCCAGAATGCACCATTTCCCAGAGAAAAAATCCCCAGAATGTACCATTCCCCAGAAAAAAAAATCCCCAGAATGTACCATTTCCCAGAAATAGAATTATCAGTCAGAAAGCAATAATAAAACTCGAAAGAACAGCTCATGTTTGAAAGAAGGGAAAATCTCTATTAAAAGTACGCCAGTGAGCTGGAAGCGCCAGTGGGACAGAAATGCCATTGTATCTATTCATCATATGTTGTAGAAGAAGTACCTACATAGTATTAATTTAATTTTTGTAGAATATTAATATTGGGTGTATGCGTAATATGTAATATAGTGTAATATATATAATATATTTGAATAAATAAAAAAAAAATCCAATAGATGATGATTTTTCCTTCTTTTATTATGAGCTGTTCTTCCGTATTTTATTGAAAAAAAATCAACATTTTCAAATATTACTCCTTTCGACCTTTTATCATGATCTATTTTAAAAAATATAAAAGAACAGTTTGTGATCAAAATAAGGGAAAATAATCATGGCATGTCGTATCCGTAGCGTAAGTTTCAAAGTATTCAAATTTAACATAACATAGCTGGTTTCCATGGTAACACATGTGCATGCATGCGTTGTCAGGCTGGACCCACAGTCTGAGCCCTCGCTTATATTGACTAATATAGTCGTTATATTCATAGTCTGGCGGATAGAATTTCGGGAACCAATTGAACTGCCAAATAACGGAACCAATCGAGCATATCACGACCAACAACAGATAAGAGCACATCAGGTTTTGCGACCTAAATTCCGGGAACACTTTTCTCGCGATTTAAAGCTTGTCTAGGCAAAACATCTCCATTCTCAGCTGTCTGCCGAAGATCTTCGAAAGCTTGGTGCATGATGTGCTGTACCAGTCTACCAAATGTATAATCTCTACTGAACAACACGGTTTCATGAAAAAGCGCTCGACCACAACGAACCTGCTAAGCTATGTATCGACTCTTGTGAATAGGATGGAAAAACGACAGCAAGTCGACGCTGTATACGTGGACTTTGCCAAAGCTTTTGATAAGGTGCCACACATCCTTGCAGTTGAAAAGTTCAAAAGGATAGGACTTCCTGAGTGGCTGACACAATGGATTCTGTCTTATCTCACAGGGCGCAGTTCTTCGGTGAAAGTCGGTGAGTCCTACTCTGTTCCATTCCAGGTTCATTCCGGAGTGCCTCAAGGCAGTATCTTGGGACCTTTGCTGTTTGTTTTGTTCATTAACGACCTCTGCATGAAGATAAAATCTCCAAAATCCTTGTATGCTGACGACCTCAAGTTTTACCGAGTAATCACGTCGCTGGTAGACTGCTGTGCGCTTCAAACGGATATAGACGGACTTCTGGAATGGTGCAGTTTGAATGGAATGGAAGCCAATATCAAGAAATGTTGCGTGATTACATTCAGTCGTTCACGTACACCGATTGCTTTCGAGTACAGAATGGAAACTTGTTGCTTGAAACGTACGAGCACCGTTAAGGATTTGGGGATTCTCGTTGACAGCAAACTAAGGTTTGTCGAACACATCGCTTCAGTAACAGCCAAAGCGTATTCTCTGCTGGGATTTTTGAAGCGTAACACGAAATTCTTTGAAGATGTGTACAGTCTAAAGACGCTGTATTGCTCACTTGTACGCAGTGTTTTAGAATATGGGGTGCAAGTCTGGGCCCCGTACCATGCAGTTCACATCAATCGGATTGAACGAATTCAAAAGAACTTTGTTCGATATGCTCTTCGAGGCCTTCACTGGAGAGATAGAACGAACCTGCCATCATATGAAAGCCGTTGCATGTTGATTGATCTACAAACACTATCAAGCAGACGAGTATTCCTTCAACGCATGCTCATCTTTGATGTCCTGACAGACCATATCGACTGTGCAGACTTACTTGAGAAACTCCGCTTTAACACACCGTTTCGGGTGACGCGGCAACCGGAGTTCTTCCGCCGATCGAATCACCGTACTGACTATGGAATGAACAACCCTCTGGATGTCTGCTGTAATCGTTTCAACGAGGTTTCCAATATGTTTGATTTTGGTATGACTAAAACTGTGTTTAAGCTTAGAATTAGTAGATAAGTTATTTCTGTCTGTACGATGTTTTTATATATCGAAGATTAAATACATAAATAAATAAACAACATAATAATTTACTTTGGGAACGTTTTCCCTATTCCACGATGCTTTTGATTTGCGTTCGGTTTGCAAGGAATGAACCATCTCAGTTTTGATTATAAAATTTGAGCCCCTTTTCATTTGTTGGTTGGTCCCTTTTCAAGATCTCTTTGGTTCTCTTTTTTTGCTGGATAAAATTTCTCTCCGCTAGACTATGAATATAGCGACTATATTGACTACTACCAGTTGTTGCTTGTAGAGATAGGAATGTCAGTCCCACACAGATAAAAAATCTGAATTTTAATAGTGATGTAAACATTCATTCACGTAATCTTGTATTTCATTTCACGCAACCGAGCAACTTGTAAACAATGTTGTTTACAACAATGGGCTTTTGTATACAATATTTGCTGCATTGCATGAAATGTCTTAGAACTTTATATGATATACTTATAATGTAAACTTATATGATGACGCTCCATTTATGTGCATCATACTGAACAGAAATTTACACTACTTTTTCGAACTGTGCGTGATTACATAAAGTTTAGTGCATTGAATATAGTTGAAAATGTAAGTACTCTGGTGTTATTTTTTAGTTGGTACGTGTTTATTGTTTAGAAAAGAGAGCTATAGCATGCAAAAAATCTATCTTGATGACATTTTTCTTGTCCAGAATAGTTATAATATGTAACAACAAGGGCTGTATTACGACAAAAGCAAAAACAAAATCACGGAAATGGAACAAACTATTTTTCAGGGAAATAGTCAATTCTGGGGAATGGTTTTATTGGAAATAGTCCGTTCTGGGGAATGGCTTTCTGGGGAATGGTATATTCTAGGGAATAGCATTCTGGGGAATGGCTTTCGGGGGAATGTCATACAATCCATACTTTACCTCACCAATCGAGATCAATCTTTTTTTTTATTTCATTTGGGGTCCCAAACAACTGTGCAAAATTTGGGGACAATTGGTTGTAACTCGGCATTCCGCATTGCGTTTGAAATTTGTATGGAAATTAGTATGGAAAAATGCATTTTTATCTCTAGAGACCACAATTTTGCATGAACCTTGCAAATAAGTATGTATACATATAGTCCAGGAAGTGCCTAACAACTTTGCCTAAGGAAGTTTGATGCTATAATGTATCTAAAAAAAGTCATAACTATTCAAATATTTATGATTTGAATTAAACACCAAAAATCCCTTTTTCTGCCAACACTGCCGGTGTACCAATGGGAGTCAGATTCCAAACTGAAATATTTTCGGAGTTTTTTTTATGAATTATTCAAACACAATTGCTCTATCTCATATGTGTAGTTTCCCGAGCAAAGCTGAAGATCAAATTGAAATCAAAATTTATTTTGAATACTCCAGTTGATCTCATTTTGGTTGACTTAACGGTTAACACAGCAAAAATGAGAGCAAAATTTTACACTGTTGAAGCAAACGGAAAACTAATCCTGCTTTCAATGAAATCAATTTGATTACTGATTTTGCATTCATAATGTTTAACTGAATACGGGCCTAGAGTAAATGGTTACCATTCATGTTTCTCAAGCTGAAAGACTTAGGCTCCAATCTCACCGCGGGCAAGTCACGAGTGACCTAAAATGTGTTAAACAAATCAGATAAACTATAATCATTAGTTCAAAGACAGATGAATTTCAATTAAATTTTAAACAAGACGTAATTAGACGTAAGACGGGATTCATGGGTGCCCGCGCTACCACGGGCTAAATTTTCGCGATTCGGCAGGTTCTGCAGAAATGCCGCGAATACAACGTGCCCACACATCATTTGTTCATCGATTTCAAATCCGCATACGACACAATCGATCGAGATCAGCTATGGCAGATTATGCACCAGTACGGATTTCCGGATAAACTGACGCGATTGGTCAAGGCGACGATGGATCGAGTGATGTGCGTTGTTCGAGTATCGGGGACACTCTCGAGTCCCTTTGAATCTCGAAGGGGGTTACGGCAGGGTGATGGACTTTCGTGTCTGCTGTTCAACATCGCGTTAGAAGGTGTGATCAGAAGAGCTGGGATAGAAGCGAGTGGCACGATATTCAGGAAGTCCATCCAGCTCCTTGGTTTCGCCGATGACATTGACATTATGGCACGGAACTTTGAGATGATGACGGAAACGTACATCAGACTGAAGGCTGAAGCTAGACGGATTGGACTTGCCATCAACACATTAAAGACAAAATACATGAAAGCAAGAGGTTCTAGGGAAGACAATGTTAGCCTCCCACCCCGAGTTCAGATTGACGGTGACGAAATCGAGGTGGTCGATGAGTTCGTGTATTTGGGCTCACTGGTGACCGCCGAAAATGATACCAGCAGAGAAATTCAAAGACGCATTATGGCAGGGAATCGTGCCTTCTTTGGACTCCGGAGGACGCTCCGGTCGAATAAAATTCGCCGCCGCACGAAGTTGACTGTTTACAAGACGATGATTGGACCGGTGGTCCTTTACGGCCACGAGACCTGGATTATGCTCGTGGTACCATCTACGGTGGAGTGCAGATGGATGACGGAACGTGGATGAGGCGAATGAACCACGAATTGCACCAGCTGCTGGGAGAACCATCCATCGTCCACATTGCAAAAATTGGGCGACTACGGTGGGCTGGGCACGTCGTAAGAATGCCGCACGACGACCCAGTGAAAATGGTTCTAGAAAGCGACCCAACAGGAACAAGAAGAAGAGGCGCGCAGCGGGC